TTACGATGCGCAGGAAAGTTCGTGACCTAGAAACGTAACGAACAACCCCCCGAATTTGCGCTCCCTCTAGGCTCTAAACTTTTTAATGGCCGCTAGAATCGCTAATGTGTGAGCCGGAAAAAAAATCGACCTAGCCATTTTTAGCTTTTCACTTTTATGTTTTTAATATTTTTTTCATCCCTTAAAATCTACATCTGACTTTTTATTTGTGCCGCGTAGCGAGAAACTGTGCCTAAAGTCGGAAAACAAAATTTTAAAGGAGAGGTCAAAATGTGAAGTAAGACGATTTTGGTAAAAAAATGATTTTACATCGAATTTTGGTTCGTCGGACCTTTTACCACCTCTCTATGCCAAAATAAATCTCGGAATCCGATTTGACCCCATAAAAACTGCAAATCCAAAAAAAGAGAAACTGTGCCTAAAATCGGAGGAAATTGTGCTTAAAGTCGGTTTTCCTCATTTTTACCCCCTCCCCATCCACAATTGGATTCGATAATGATGCTCGGAGTGTGTTAACCTCTGATTGATATTTTCCATGGTAAAAAAATCTTTTTGGATACCTAATAATGGCTCCTGGTTGAGTATTTAATACCGTGCCTAAAGGCTCAATTTTTGTCCTAAAATTATGAATGAGGTCTCAAAAGATGCAGAATTGTCTCCTCTTTCAAAATGTCTTGAAACAAAATTTTTAGAAAGCACCATAATTTTTATAATTAATTTCAAACATTTGGTCAACTTTAAATACAGTTTTCTAGAAATTGATTTTTTTCACTTATTCAACTTCAAACGCCCATATCTCCGCGAATTTTGATAGCAGAAAGCTCCGGTTGGTCTCAAAATGATCAGTACACTCTCCTCTATCAGCCTAGCTAAAAATCTCAAAAAAAAATTTCTGACTTTCATGTGTCACATTTGTAAGTAAGCTGGGAAATTTCGAGTTTTTAAATTTTTTTCATAGACAAAAATACTTTGATTTTTAAACTTCTGAAAAGAACTTGTTTTTTCTCTAGAAATTCCAAAAAATGGCCAAATTGAATTTCTAGGGTCTATATGAGCCCCCTGGAACGAGAGTGGTGTAAGTCCAAACACCAAAAAAATTGAGTTAGGGGTGGCATCGGTTAGCTTTTTGGGGAAACTTTCTCCTTGCCAAAGGATTAATCTTAATTCTCTTATTTCCCTATTAAATGTAGCCTCTTAAAATTAAAAACTTATCACAGAGTAAATGGCATTTTCAAATGCAAACATCTTCGTTTCTCAAAACGAAATAAGTGTGACTCACACCACTCTCCTTCCAAGGGGCTCCTTGTTAAGTTTTTAATCCCAAGAGCCGGTTTCTCCTGTTATGTCACTTGTTCTGGCTAGAGGTAAAGGACTTTCTCATCCTGACTCCAGGCTTGTAATGATAACTTATAGCTAATGTATGACCTTTTTTTTTTACTTTTTGATTGACGTGGCAGTGCTTAGCCTACATCTGGGGGGACCCAGTTGCAGTTACCAAGGTAGCCTACGTGGAGGAGAATGTGTGTGTACCAGTCGATATATTTACCAGTTTTTGGCTTTGCTGGTTCTTAAGCTCCCTATGAGCCTGGTTGTATTTTGGCAGTAATCAACCACTTCCAATTAAAAGATCGTCTTTTGGCTTTGACAGCACCTCAAAATTATTTCCTTCCCGATGACCCTACCTAGATAATACCATAGAATGTCTGGCTGGTCTCTCATTCTCCTATTTTATCCACCACACATCCCTGCATTCTATTGCCGGTTCTCCCTCTTGTTATATCTACATTAAAATTAATTGCAATATTTCCAAATTATTTTATAAAATACAAAAAATCAAAAATGTTTTCCCACAGTTAATTTTTCTGTTCGATCTTTTCTTCATTCTAAGTGAGAACCTCGTCTTATGTATTATCTATCGATTAGATTTTTGCTGTTGGAAATGGGTGACTTGAAAGTAGCGGTACTTGGAGCTGGAGTTGTTGGTGTGAATACAGTGTTGCAACTTCAAGAACAGCTACCATCCGCAAATGTTACTTTGATTGATGATAAATTCAGCGATGAAACATTAAGCTATGGGCCAGCCGGTATTTTTCGGCCGGGCACTCAATTTGGTGGTCTACCCGCAGATATTGTCAGGTTGGTACCTGGATTTGGTTTTTGTATATGTAGCATGTCTGAAACGTAAGTTTGCCATCTCCAGAAAATATTGAGGTTTGAGTGATAGAAAAAAGTATATTTATTGATCTGGAATGTATAATAGATTTCTCATGCAATTTGCCAGACAATCGATCTTTTTTTTTTGGGTCTCTGCTTTAATTTTCGTTTTTAACTACAGACAAATTGCACCCCCTAAGTTTAATAATGAAAATTTTTAGAATTTTGCACTTTCAGGAAGTATTTAAGATTTGTAGAGTGTGGCAAAGAAAAGATTTGGGTAGGCAACCAGTCTTACAACCACAAATTTAGATTTTCGTAATTTGAGATGCGCAATTTTACAACGTTCAAAAAATGAAAACCTACGCAGAGACCTAACCAATGAGTGAATGGATTTGCAAATAACATGAGGAATTTGATACCTATATTTATTCCAGTTGAACATTAGTTTTTTTCACACGTGAGGCTCAAATATTTCTGTACCAACTTTTGGGACAGACCTCGTATAAGGAGGCTAATTATTATAGGCTAGCCACTTAAGATAAGCATCTCTTCAACTTTCATAAGTTCTTGAGTTATAGAGGTTCTACTTAT